CTCCGGCGCCGGAATGCAGTAAACTTGGTGCTTACAGGTTGATTAGGCGAAGCAGGGCATTGCCCATAGGCTGGCTTTGTTGAAAACATGCTCGTGAAGCCGCTATTCCAAAGTCGGACAGCATTTTACAAATTGATAAATTTCCCATTGTTTGAGACTCAATCCCTACTTCCTCCTTTTCCGGATAGTAAAGGCCGACTATTGTGGGTACTCCACGGTTTTTGTGTTTAGGTCAAAAAAACCAACAGTCAAGTCAACAACAGCACAACTGGAGAAAATCTTGATATGGTATTTGGGCAATGGGGCTGCGATCATCACATCCCAAACATGGCCATGGCCCTGGTCTCATCATCATCATCATCCATCTCGCTAAAGGCAGTTTCTTGTTGTTCAATTGCCGGCAAACTGCGGTTCCCCTCAATCAGTCATGGCGCCGACACTACTATCTACCACCTCCTCCCAAAATCGAGGTTATTGATGGAAAAATAAAGAGGTGGTGCCCTGGGGTCAATGTTGATGTACACTCACTTGACGATGTCTTACCATCTGCCCAATTTGCCGTATTCATGTACAATGAAATTAAGGTTTGGTTGTTTTTCTTTTGCTTTTTACCTTTTTTTTATACTCTTTGTCCCAAAATGATTGTAGATTGGTGATGCAGGGTCGGAATATTCGGTTTAAATCAGGGCTCACCGGTCGCGAGCTGCGGGAGATCTCTTCTACCTAACAGTAGAGGGGACTGATGACGATGGTGAACTGAACCTTTACTACGCAGAAGTTTATGACTGCTGCTTTAAGAAGCTCAAGAAGTTATTGAGGTGGAAGCTAGTGGATGAATCCTTTTCTTACCCTTATTTGATGTCACGGTTGGTTGGATTTCCTTAACTTTTGTTTCATTTTGATTAATCCTCGTATAAACTTCCATCTTAGGCTTGCCAAGAAAATTTTGATTCTCATTTCTTCATACCTTGGAGAACTGGACAACATTATCTCAAGAGTTACATTAATCTTTCATTTAGTACTTAGGAATTGCTCTCCAATTGTCTATAATACAATAAGTTTAGTCTCCTGACTAGTAGTATAAATCTCAAAACTCGATGTGGACTAGTTTTCTAGAACGGAGAGAGTATGTAATAATGAGTAAGGATTTCTTCTCATCTGTTTTGCCAAACAATCATTTATATTGTTAAATGGCGTCTAAATACGTTAGCAGCACGCATGCCTGCCGATCCACATTCTGTCTAACCAAAGACGACATCACTATTCACGGGTCTGGATTTAATAGAAGTTTTTGTTGTCCTCCTGGCGTTTCCATCTAAAACAAATTCCTAAAATGGTGGAATTCAGATTGATGGGCGCTTATTGTTGGATTAAAATGCTCTGAAGAAACCAATTAGCATCTTATTTGGTTTTGAGACAGATTCAAGATTTGGCTAACATAAACAAAGATCCCTAAGAAGCTACAAGAAGGTTTTTTTCTCCTTCCACTCATTAGCATTTTCCTTTTCTGCAGTGGGCTTAAGACGGTTGAAAGAGATATCCAGCTTGCTGGTAATGGCAATGGACACCATGAGTAAGTGTTGCTTGTGCTTCTTATATTTAGTATGTGTCGGGCAATGCTTCATCATCTCTTTTCTGAATGTCGTGAAACTCTAATGTTTTCGGATGTTAGTTTGTCTCTTCATGTTGTAACTCGTCCTCTCTCTCGCTGTTCAAGAGTAAACTTTGTGAAAGGCTGTTCATGGCACTCAACACTACTACAACTACTGGAACAATTTTAACTTAATTGAGCGGATTGTTTTTCATCTTTCTTATGTTGCATATGTGAGGTACCTGAATATTGAAGTTATGAAAAGTTATATGCATTTGGGCAGATATTCAGTTGTTGGGTCGTGCATGGAAAATCCCCATTTGCCTGGAGAAACTGTGAACTCTGATGTCGCCCCCGTCAATAACAAGATTAATGATAGAAATGTTATCCGCTATGCTTTATCTGCTCTGGAGGCGTACAATAAAAAGGTCCGTCCTCTAGTTTTCTTTTCTTCTTCTTTTTTTTTTCCGGTTTTTGTGTGGTTGTATGCACTCTTTATACAGGTGACGTACTTAAAACTCTAAAATGATGGTGGCAGGCAAAAGAAATTCGTCTTATTGAGGTATTGCGTGCAAGCAGAGAGTGAATCAATGGCAAGGTCATTTAGATTTTATTCTTGAAGGCGGCGAATGAGGAAGATGATTTCAAGTATTTCTGTGCCCAACTTGAAGTTTCGCAGACCAATAATGAAGAGTTGGTTAAGTGCCATGTGATTAATGAATTGTCCCTCTAGAGAAAACCAGGAGGTAATTCCAGTGACATTTGTTCTTAAAGTGATTTATCTGATTTGGGTTGAAGCACTTTCCTATAGTTTCCTTGCATCTTTTCCTCTCTTCCCTTTTCAGAATAAACAAAGTGGTTCATTGTTTGCTGATAATTTTCTTTGAACTTGACTGCTGAATTAAATTTCTAACTTAGGGATTGATAGTTATTTATGTGGCCCGGTCTCTAGTTACTTTGCTAGACTCTTGAGTCTGCGAATGCAGGACAAGCCGTGGGGGTTAAGAAATCAGAGACCTTAGTGTGATTATTTAGTTGAACGCAACAGAAAAAGTAAAAGCAATCTGTAGGAAATCAAAGTAGAAAATCGCAAGAAAACTGGACAAACACTCAATAACGTCTGTTGGTTTGTGCATGAAGATCGTAATTGGTGCTTAAAGAATGTCTTTTCGGTGGCTATGGAAGATTCAGTCATCGCATCATCTGAAATCACTCTGTGCCGATAAATCTTTAATCTCAGTTATCATATTCCACCGGCATCTAAGTGCAAACTCAACCCGACCACTTGGTCCATCTTCTTTATCAAAGTTGTCACACTTATTTAAATTCAAGTAATTGTTTTTTTTCTAATAATCATATATAAGCTAAACGAGCAATCAATTCATAAATCCAATATAAAGAAGCATGGCTTCAACCTTAAAACAAAACCGGCGCATCGTGCATCCGTGCTTGCGTCAAGTGTCAATTACGCTCCTTATGGTGTAAATTAAAAAAGGTTCATAAATTAGTGATTATATAAAACAAATTGCTTCGAGAATCACAACAAGTTCAATCATTTCGCATCAGTTTGTACATAAATCAATACAAGATCATGTTTCAATTTAAAAATCAAAATACTTATGGGTAACTTTTACTACGGAAAAAGACAATGCATGAGATTGAGAGCAACAAAATGAACTGGCAATTCAATACTGGTCCAACTCATAACTATTTGCAATTATGAAGAGCAATAAGTCTTCACCGGGGACATCCGCATATACTAGTGAAAGTTAGTTCAAACACAGACCGGATGGAAGGATGATCATCATATATATTCATGTTGAACTTTAGAGTAGCTACTATGACAACGATGGGTCGTTTTCATATTCACACGATTTATTCCTTTCTTTTACAATTAATTGTAAAATTGTTATTATTATTGTTGTTGTTGTTGCTTTTCATTTTTATTTTTACTTTTTTTTGGGAAAGGGAAGACGGAAGTTATTCTGTTCTTCTAGTAATGAAGATATACATGAGAATGTATGAAGACTGGAAGTTTCCCATTACAGTCATCAACTTTTTCTTGTATTGTTTTTTCCCCTTCTGCAAATGCTAGTATTGTATTGTATTAAATCAACTTGGATTAATATGAAGAATACCCTTAAGGTTTCCCTAATTATCTGAAACGTCCTTAAATTTTTTTAAAAATATAAAAATTATCACTTAATCAGTAAGTTAATTATCAAAATGGTCCTCTAATAGCTCAAAATTGATATATGCATATGAAGTGAGTAAAAAAAGTGCAAAAAAGCTGTTTGTGTCCCCAAAAAAACCCTCCATGATTCTTTTATATATATATATATATATATATATAAATCAAATTAAAATCAAATATCTACTCCTAAATCCAAAATTTTTTAGGAGCTCCAAAAGCTGAATTTTGGATTTAAAAATAGATATTTGATTTTATTTGAGTTTGAAAAATATTCGAGGAGTGTTTTTACTGAGTACAAATATTTTATCGACACTTTTTTGAATGAATTTATGTGCATACGTTAGTTTTCAATCGTTGGATATCCCTTTTCATAATTGATTTAGCTATTGAAGGATGTTTTCAATATTTTGTGAAACTATAAAAGTGTTTTAGATAATCAAATAAATCTTGAGAGTGTTTTTGATAATAACCCAATAAATTTTGGTGTTCATTATTTTCAGTTTTACTTCATAATTGTTCTCCGAGGGGAACGATTTATACCATAGTGAAACTGACATACATCTATGGGGACACAAATTTTACTGCAAACTATCTACTTTCTTTGCTCTTAAGTTTTGCATAGATTCACGCTAAAATAAAATCATACTCGAAGAACATTAATGTAATCAATGTTTTTCAGTATAGAATATCTTGATTTAGTGCTTTAAGTTCTACTTCTCGGTCATACCAAATTTAGTAAGAGGCAAAATTTTTATTTGGACACTAATACAACTTAAATGTAGCTCTAAGCAACATTCTAATCATGGGAATGGAAGAATAATATTTGCCATGAAACAAACAAAAATTGCACACCATTCCGTACGGTCCAGGGACTTGAACTCATAGACTTGTCATGTAGACATATACCATGCCATAGAGAAAAGGGTCCCCCCTGACTCCCTGTGCCTCTGTCCCCTCATAAAAATTGATGGAGCCCAAACACAGCAAATCCCAGAAGAAATTCTACCATTAGTATTATTCTCCACCGAGGAGATAAAAAGCAGTAGCGTTCACAACTTTGAAGGAACAACGTGCAGGGGTAAACCTGGCTACAAGTTAAGCCAGATGGGCAAGCAATTCTGAGGAATTTTCTGGTGTGTTGTTTGTGGGGAAGTGGGCAAAAAAAAAGAAAAACTTAAAATACAGAAAAGAAATGAGCCATGGAGTGAGAGAGAGATGAAAAGGGGAGAAAAAAGTGGGAAAGGGGCCGCAGAAAAGGAAGAAAATTTGGGGGAAAAGTTGAACAAGGTAGGGAAAAGAGGGGGACATAACACTCCAGTAGTGCCCTTTTGGAGACTGGAGCTGCAATTGCAATCAACCACACCAGAATCTAATCACAACCCTCTTTTAGTTCCTCCTAGTACTACTCATACTGTTAACGCCGGTCAAAATCACGGCGGCGCCGGTGGTGGCGGCGGTGGTGTCAAAGGTAGCATCTTTGGAAAAGTTGGCCCTTTTCAGTTTCCAGCTGTTTCTGCTAGAAAACTTGCTGCCACACTTTGGGAACTTCATCATTACAAGCTCCCACTTTCTGAAATGCACCACCACCAGGGTGTTGGTAATCCTCCTAGGATTCGACGCCTCCACCACCGTCAACATCATCACCAGCTTTATGAGGACAATGGTGATCTGCAACACCCTGATCCTTCTCCTAGTTCACCTGACCTGGTTAGAGACTGCTACTTTTTTTTCCCCCTTTTCCTTTTTTCCCTTTTAGGATGGTACTGAATTTGTTACTATTTTGCTGTGTTTTCATCGCTTTAACTTGTTATTACTTATTAAGTATAGTTCCATCTTACAAAATTTCCCTTGGTGTGTGTGTCCTGTTTCCAGTTTTCTGGCTACTTCTTGTTTTGATTCATATGTTGTTAGGTTATTATAAAAATTGACATGCGGGTTTTGCAATTTGTTATTGAATCAGTAAATATTTTCTATTTCTTTTTTGTTTCATTTATTACATATCTGTCTTAGCTATTAGCTATAAGTTTTTTTTCCGTTCTAGCTGTGAGAACAAAATTTTAGTTCATTTGTTCATATGGGTTTTAATGGTGCGGAAAAAAAATCTATTTCATCATTCTCTAGTTTCTCTTTTCCTTTCCTTTTACGCTCAATTCACGGCTTTGTCAATCTGATTGGCAAATGTTTATAGCACAAAATTCTCTTTTGGTCTCCGTAATTCGTATTGGTAGTGTTTTTCTAATGTCCATTCAATGTATCCAGTACTTGTGTTAGTTGTTTCTGGGAATAGTTACTAGCTCTGTAAGCCAAGCGAATTTTCCATGATTTTTTTCATGTCCTTTCAATGTAATCGAAGCTAAATTAGTTCCTGATGCACTGTTTATGTTCCTGATAATCTCCCAGCCTGGAAGTGCCAGCAGTTTGAGAAGGCATGTAGCTTTGTTGATGCAACATCACCGACCTGTAGAGAGGGGCAATCACGCTTTACAACCTGTTTCTCCTGCAAGTTATGGCAGCTCCTTAGAGGTGTGCTTTCGGTCTCTTGCATGCTGCTGAAGTGGTGTTATTTTCTTCAACTAATAAGGCTTCATAATCTTCTCGGAATGCCTTAACGCTTTTGACATATGATAATGAACTTTTTCACGGTGTTGTACTGCTTCAAGCCCTTAGAAATTAGTCGAATACTGACTTTACCATGGCTAAGAGGTTTTCTTCTTTCGACTTGATTTACTTGCAATTCTTATTAGTCCTAACCAGAATGAAAGATCATGCTGCCAAATGCTAAAATGGTGTCTGTATCAAAGGTTTTGTTGCATTTTTTACACTGTTTGTTTGCTGCAGAAATCTCGTTGACTTACTGAGTTCCATAATGCATTTTCTTTCAATAATCTGCAACCGTCACGAACATCTAGCTAGAAAAGTTGAACATATTTGGTAAAAGGTCAAGTTTTTGTGATTCACTTAACACTTTCTTTTTAAAGATTCTGTGCAACAATCTAATACATTAGTATTTCATCATCAATTTTTTGTTATTCACGTCTGTTACTGATGCATGAGATCTTATCATTCCGAGCCAGCAATATTTCTTCAGCTACATTGTATGTAATCTTCAATTTTCGCTCTCCTCTTATAATGCTTGTTCTTGCAGGTCACCCCATATAACCCTGCAGTTACACCTAGCAGTTCTGTAGGCTTTAAGGGAAGAATAGGTGAACCAGGATACAGCTTAAAAACATCTACAGAACTTCTAAAAGTGTTGAATCGGATCTGGAGTCTGGAAGAACAACATGCTTCTAATATATCACTAGTAAGAGCACTGAAGAAGGAACTAGATCATGCACGGATTAGGATAAAAGAGTTGGTACGAGATCAGCAAACCGATCGACATGAGATAGATGAACTGATGAAGCAGATCGCAGAGGATAAACTAGCCAGGAAAAGCAAAGAACAGGATCGGATCAACGTGGCTATTCAATCTGCAAGAGAAGAACTGGAAGATGAAAGGAAGCTGAGAAAACGGTCTGAAAGCCTGCACCGGAAACTAGCCCGGGAGCTATATGAAGTGAAAACATCATTTGCAACAGCTCTAAAAGAACTTGAGAATGAGAAAAGATCCAGAACGCTTTTGGAAGACCTTTGCGACGAGTTTGCATGGGGAATTAGAGATTCTCATAAAGAACTGCACGCTCTAAGACAGAAATTTGACAAGGATTCAGCTCTTGGAGCTGCTCATGATAGCTTAACACTTCATATGTCTGAATCATGGCTTGATGAGAGAATGCAGATAAAGTTGGAACCTCAGTTTAGTTCAAGAAGCCGTACAACAGTCGTGGACAAGATGAGGTCTGAAATCGAGGCTTTTCTTCAAGTTAAACAAAATGAGAAAAGTAATGGTTATAGTAATCATTTGCCACCAAGAGATGTCCAATTTCATAGACATCCTTTGGAATCAACCCCGTTAAATGTTGCTGTTAGTGCCCCTCAACATGATGACGATGAAGATTCAGCAAGTAGTGATTCACATTGCTTTGAGCTACATAAGCCCACTGTCGACTTGAAATCCCAAGAAAATGTTATTGAGGAGGACCAGAGTAATAGCCTGACAAAACAAAGCCGAACCAAGAAGAAGCTTTCATCTGACGACAAAGCCAAATCTCGTGGTCCGTCCAGTTTGCAAGTGAAGCATGAAGAGCAGATGGCTCATGTTGTATCTCATGGTGAAAGCAAAGACCTTTTCAATGATCTGACCCAAGGAATACAGCATGAAGCTAATCCAATGGAAATGGGTATTTCTAAAAAGTCAGAAACATGCGAAGCAACAGGAGAAGGAAGTACAGTTAGGAGAATTACAGAGGATGAAATTCCTGGATCAAACTCTAATTCCATGATTGACAACTTAATTAGAAGTCACTATTTGTTGTCGGAGAGCATCAGTATGCATCCTGAACAAGATCATGAGCTAGCATCTGGAGGCAGTTCAGTTTGGAGGGCGCGTGCTAGTCCAGTGCGGCAATGGACTGAGAGACTCCCACCCCAGGAGCATGAAATATCTGAGTCATCTTCAAAACTGCCTACAGAGTTGAAGGAGAATACTTTAAAAGCAAAGCTGATGGAAGCAAGGACCAAGGGAACTAGGGCACGATCACGGTTAAAAGGTTCCAAAATTCTGTTCTAGCCTTACTTTGAGAGCTTCTCCGTCCAGCTTTCTAATAACTTTTTGTGAATATGAGCCAAGCTACTTTTGAAGTTGGTTTTCACTTTACAAATTTCTATTACTCATCTCCTTTCAAGTAATTTTGAGAATCGATTCTGTTTATCAGACTGAATGAGTTTTGGCATAGGATGCTTTATTGTCTTTGAGCCTTCCTCCTTGCATAGTTTTAAGAAACCAACTGTTGCAGTCCAGATCGTAATGTTGTGCCAAATTTATCCAAGTTGAATATCTATGATAGTATTTATGACTGTATTTAACTTTTATCCATGTATTAGAGCTTGGAGAATGTTTATTGAAGTGTATCAGGGCTTAATGGGAGAGAATGTGAAGAGCAGAGAGGAATAAGTGAAAAAGAAAACAATACGCCCCCAGGCGATATGCGCAATTAAATAACAAGGATTAATGAGGTCTACCAAACACGTGTATTTGAGGAAAATCTTTCCTCTGGTATTATCAGGCATCAGCTGTTAAGTCAGAGCAAAAACAAAGGACGGTTCTGTGTTCTTTGGATTGCGTTCTGTGATTGATACTGTTTTTTCATCTAAATCAAACAGAGCTGTGCAGAGTGTGTAGAGCACGGGACCTGAAATAGGTGAGAAAGCAAAGCATTTGCTCATTCACAAAGTAGTACTCTTCAATTGAACAGCTAGCAAATAAAAGATGTCTCCGATGTCACCTGTCATGTAGATAGGATATTTTTCATGCTTCGTGTCTCCAAGAACCGAAAGGAATTCACTCTTTGATCCCTTTGGCAGAAAACTTGCTCTTTTTTGTCTGCTTATTGAGTTCTCATCATGCATCTAAGTCAGCCAAGAAAAAGAGTAGTTCATATTTTCAGGTAGTTGCAACCATTTTAAATCACAGTACTTGCTGAAGTGTGGGTGAAAGGATTTGTATTTGTGGTGATTGAACTAATATAGGGGATTCCAGTGGCATCCTAAAAGCAAGGCAACTAACAGAATCCTACCAGATTCTGCATTATCTTTTTACCTGCTGAACCTGAAGATGAAGGTACATGTTTGCATGGAAAAATGGCGTTTCCAGGACCTCATGTATTGAGATTCGACTTCCTGATGCAGTTTCCACGTTCAAAATTCTCCGTGACCGTGTGTCAATCAGGTTGTAACTATGACCTACAGATACCTCTGATGAACCAATTCTCTGCAAAACCAAACAACTGATTGCCATTTTCACCCTAGATTTCTCATAGGGAACATGCGTAATATAGACATCTATTCCTGTGCTGACCTACGAAGGACAGATGTTTTTACCTTCAGGGCATCATCAATGCTGTTCGCTTCAAGCAAGTCTCTGGAAATAAAGTTCCGGGCAATCCCACCGGCCACAATCTCAGCAGCAGTTGGTGGTACAGAGTTCAGCGTAAAAGCCTATACTAAATCAATGGATTCTGGAGAGTTGGCAGAGCAATTAAGAAAGGTAATCTGAAATCACAGAACAGAGTGTTTACCAGGCCGTGACTATTGAATCCAAAGGCGCAGCTTGGGAGCTCTCCTGCATATGTGTAAGCAGTGAAACACAATCCATTTCGGAGAGTTCCCTTTATCAGATACCTGAAATTCAAGCAATGCATCATTGTTTCCTCTTAAAATGCACAACAACATCGTAGTAGGTACGAGGTAAATGGATGTTTTCTGGTTCACAAATAACTTCCAAAAGCCACAAAATTTGATGGACAAACAAAATGTACTACTGCTCACGTGTGACCAAGCAAAGCGACATTTGCATCTTCATTGTGAGCTGCAATAGCCATGGAATCTCCGACGACAAGAATATCAGAGCAATCATCACTAATTTCATCCTTCAATTCTTCATCCGTCTTGGGTCCAGCAAATGGCAAAATTTCCTTCCTGAAGTTCAGCAGTAAAATCTAACAACACAAGAATAACCCATTAACATCCATTACAGTACTAACCAAAATCGTTTACAAAATGAAGATATATTCATTACATCAAGAAAAGGCACCCCACTTCCTTGGGCTGTTCCAAAGAGCTCATCCCAGTAATCTGGAAACCTTTTGCGGTTATTTTCAGATAAAGATTGAATGAGTTGTTGTCCTTGAGGAGTTTCAGAAAATGGGCGGAGCTGGTTTTGGAGGATAAGGTCAGTGGCGAGCCTGCTTTGGATCAGGGAAGAGAATCTCTGGCCAATCAAGAAACCCATTGTTTTGGCATCTTTGCAAGGGCCGACTTCAAAGATTTCTAGTCCATTTCCTCCATTAAATTTTTCGTTGGAAATCTGCATAACCACCAGATGAATGGTGTGGTTTGGCGCCTGAGCTTATTTACAAACCTGAGGGCTAATGAATGATTTTCCTTATCTCCTCCGCTATGAAATGACAGGGCTAACAGCCTAACACATTTGACATATCATAATTTTGTACTTATTTTATTTTGTAATATTATTTTCTTTTCAATTTTTGTATGGACCTTTTCCAATTATCAATTAGTTTTTATTTAATGATGATTCTCTTTCTTCTACATATGTAAAAGACTTATCTCATTTTTCGCACTATATTAATTTAAATCTACTCAGTTTAGTCTAATACATTTAATTTCACAACTTTTTTAGTGCAAACACCAGAGCCACTATTACGATCATCTTTTCGCCTAGGATAAGGGGTACTTTGATATTTCATTTGATCAGGGTTATTAAAAATTAGAATAAATAAATAAATAATCTTATATTTTCTAATTTCTGAGTAACCCAAACCAATTAAATTACCAATTAAATTATCAAAATGCCCTTGACGCTAAACATAAAGATGCTCGAAATAGCGGTTTGTTGGACTAAAAAATTCGTGAAATTAAATGTACGAGACTAAAATGTGTTAACTTAAATGTATTTGTCAAAAAATAAAAATGAGTATAAATCAATATATTTATCAATTTTATTCAGGGTTAATTCATCGCTAATGCAACTACTACTAATGAAAGCGCTATTATTGAGGGTTATGTGACAAGGAACTACATTAGTTTGAACTTTTTGGGTCTAATCTTATTTATTAGGCCCCATATTGTATTTTCTCTCCCAAATAAATTCTCAACAGCTACAAACTTGGATTTTTTTTTTTCTTGTTTACAAAACTAGTATGTGTCCCGCGCAAATGTTGAAAATTTATCTTCCAAAAGAATTAATTAGATAATGTAGTTATTAATATTTCTTAAAACCGTAAATTTTTTTTGATTAATCAATTTTAGATCAAAATGAGAGGTATTAATATTATTTATGAGATGTATATTTGTAAGATCTGGCGAAAAATATTACAACAAAAATTTCAAAAAGTTGTATAATAAAAATTTTCACCACTAACTAATGTTATGTTTGGATTAAAAAATATATTAAAAAATACGTAAATTATGTCTAGATGCATATGGTTTATTTATAGGCAAGGGGACTTTGGGAATTAGACACAATTAATCGTCCTTGAAAATGTAAAATCGATAAAATTGATGACAAAATAGCACATAAATAGAACTTTAAAGACTAAAATAATAATAAGTTAAAGTGATGCTTGATGGTCTCAATTAGCGACACGTGTCGATTATCTTTCTTTCCTTTAATATATATGATGATTGCCAAAAACAAAATTCAAAAAACAAAAAGCAACATTACACTTACACACAATTAAAAAAAAAAAAGTAGAAAGGAAGTAACAAAAGGGTTTGACAACAATCCTTTTTGCACCATTCATACAATTACTCTAGTAACAAAACAGTCTCAGAAGTATATAACCACGGTCCATTTCCAATAGCGTCATAAGTAGCTTACAATAAGTTGTTCTTTGATCAGCAGGTTTAATATTGGAATGAACCACATCTATGTTATAAGGCTCCAAAATTAGCAAATATGATAGTGAAAGTAAATCAACTTTGTCAAGATATATAGCTCTAATGCATGTATTTTCCTCAACGCTGGCACAAGCTTAACAACGTAATTGAACAAAATTACATTGACTCTAAACCTCTCAAACCGGACGAATAGGCACACATTTGCTAAGAATGATTCGCGCTTTTGGTTAAGAATGATTTTTTGAGATGTGGTACCATATCTGTGAAGGTTACCAACGAATAGGCACACATTTGCTATTGCTCTATAGATAGCGATTCAGATGGGTCACGAACCAAAACCATCCGCTAAGAACTTTTTGGTTATTCCACTAATTGACAAATTTTTTTACCTTAATTTGTTTTTAAGAATGATGGTTTAAATATTATCGATTATCCACAAACCAAACTATGTTTGTTGTTGCATTATATCTTCACCATAATAGGAATTTGAGTAGTTTGTACTTTTGTAAGTTTCATTTCGTCACTCATAAAATATTCAAACAAATTTGAAGTTGTTCTTTTTTTTTTCGATAAAATGTTCTTTCTTAATAGTAACGTGTTATTAGTTATGCCCATTTCCAAAAAAAAAATAAAAATGAAAATGACCTAATGTGCCGTTGTTCATAGAGAATATGGTAGCAAAAATTGAGTGTCTTAAACGAATTGGTAAAATTTCCGTAATTGATGAATATTTTCGTGTGAATGTAACGTACAATATTATGCAATTGGTTCAGTCGCATATACACGTGATCGGGTTAGTATAGATTTCATCTCATAAACATGAAATCTTCATGTATTTCGAGAGTTCGAATGAGGTTTGTACCTACTATCTAATAGATGGTAAACAAAGATGGAGCGGAAGTCATAGTTAGGGTTTCTGAGAAAAGGAAGAAAACTGAATTCTGTGTAAATCGATTAGAATGAAAACTATATTATAAAATGTGTTAACTATACAAGTATTTATATTAATTAAAATAATTGCCTATCTTCTACATTTACATGTATGTTCCTATATAAGTAACCATGTACAAGTATACTGCAAGGGCGGAAATCCATCAGCGACATCTTCTAACACTAAACTATCAACTAAATCTGTACGACTTGCATTCTGTAAAACTGTTGTTATACTTTCATCTTGATAATTATTCATGCTCCCCTCAAGCTGGGCATTGTGGAGATCACAAAGACTAAGCTTGGATAGTAACACTTGAAACTGAACAACAGGTAGAGTTTTAGTAAAGAGATCAGCTGGCTGTTTTTGAGAAGGGAGATGATACGGATCAATAAAAATGGCCTTAAAATGATTGCGCACAATGTGGCAATCAATCTCTAAGTGTTTAGCGCATTTGTGAAACACAGGATTTTGGGTAATGTACAAAGCTGACCTGTTACCGCAAGCAAAGAGAATAGGCAAGGACAACGATACCTTTAGATCTTTCAGAATGTAAGATATCCACATCAGTTCACAAACAGTAGCTCCCATGCTTGATACTCGGTTTCACAAGAGGATTTAGAAGTAGTGGACTGCTTCTTTGTTTTCCAGGAAACAAGAGCAGACCCAAAGAAAATACAATATCCAGTCAAAGAAAAATGAGTCACAGAACATGTTCCCCAATCAGCATCACAAAAGGAGTGGGCTTGAAGATCATTCGTACTGCTATAAAATAACCCGAGAGATGGACAACCTTTAAGGTACTATAGAACATGTAATCCTGCAGTCCAATGAATCTCTCTAGGCTGCTGAATACATTGACTAAGCTGCTGTGTCGCATACGTAATATCTGGCCTAGTAAATCCCAGGTACAAAAGACGACAAACCAAAAGTCAGTAAGAACTCGGATCAGCCAAAACAGGACTGCTATCATCATCCAGGTTAAGACCTTTGGGCAAAGGAGTAGACACGGACTTACAGCCAAGAAGACCGACACTTTGCAACAGATCTAAAATATACTTTCACTGATTCAAAAATATGCCAGCCTCAGAACGAGCAATTTCTATACCTAAAAAATAATTAGCATGTTGCAGATCTTTAATAGTAAAGGTATCATCAAAAAACTGTTTAGTATCACATATAAGCTTCTCAGAAACAAACAATGATCATGACCTGATTAAAGAACTAGTTAATAAGACATCATCCACGTAGACTAAAAGGAACCAAGAACTCACCACTAACATATTTAAGAAACAAACAGTGATCATGACCTGATTGAAGAAAGCCAAAAGATTGTAACCTTTGAGTAAACTCAAGATTCCACTGACGAAAGCTTGTTTCATCCCATAAAGAGACTGCTTCATTTTGCAGACTTGATTAGGAAGTGCCTTCAAATAGCTAGGGGGAGGTTTCGTATAAACACTCTCATCTAGATATCCGTGAAGAAAGGCGTTATTGATATCTAGCTGGTGGATGGGCCAGTTACGGGCTGCGGCTAGAGCTAGAACAACACGAACAGTGAGTAACTTTGCCACTGGAGAGAAGGATTTAAAATAGTCTTCGCCCTCTACTTGATTATACCCTTTGGCCATAAGGCGAGCCTTATATTTTTCAACGGATCTATCCGGGTGGTACTTAACCTTGTACACCCATTTACACCCAATCGCTTTCTTTACTTTTGGCAAATCCACTAGATCCCAAGTTTGATTATCTTCTAGAGCAGAAATTTCTCTTTGCATATCTTCTTCCCATTCTACTTTATTCTTAGCTTGACCATGAGAACTAAGTTCAGGGATTTTGAATACATTAGCTAAGAAATCAATAAAGGATGGACTAAAAAAAGGTTGCTGAACATAAGTAAAGGTAGGAGGAGGTTGGAATTTAGAACTGGAAGGAACCACTGCAACGGGGTTGAGATCATTGATATGATGAGCATAGTCTTGTAGCCAGGCAGGTTTGGTTTTGGTCATGGTGCTATGCCTAACCACAGGTAAGGAATTGGATGAAGGAGGAAGTAAAACATCATTCGGATCCACAGAATGATGCATTGGTAAGGTAGACGCAGAATGAGGAACTAAATCGGAGGAAGAAGAAGATTGTGCAGGTGGAAAAGAATCTGCACAATCAGACTGATGATTAGAAGACGAAGATTCAGACTGATGATTTCTGAAATCAGCATTAACAAGGAGCTGATCAGATACAGGAACTACGAGTAAAGGTAAACAATCGGGTGCTGAAGGTACACTTTATATCCCTTTTATCCTTCAGGATAACCAATGAGAACGCCTCTAAAGGCCCTGGGTGCAAACTTATCTTTATGGGTTTGAGTGTTTGTAACATAACAAAGACACTCGAAAGTTCTAAGTTGAGAAAGATCAGGCTCAATGGCCTGTAAAATAGAGTACAGGGACTGCTAATTAAGTAAAGGGCTAGGGAGGCGATTTATAAGATAAGTAACAGTCAAAATTGCATGTACCCAAAAATGTTTAAGCAGAGAAGATTGAAACATAAGAGCACGAGTAATTTGAAGAAGATGTTTGTGCTTACGTTCCACCACACCATTTTGTTGTGGTGTGTAAGCACAAGATCGTTGATGGACAATTCCAAAAGAAGAGAAAAGAAGGGAACAATTACTACTGAAAATTCAGTCACATTATCAGATCAGACAATTTGGATAGACAAGGAAAACTGATTTTGAATTAACATGAAGAAGTTTTGAAGAATATTAGAAATCTCTGTTTTATATCTAAGTAGAAAAGTCCAAGTCCCTCGACTAAAATCATCCACGATAGTAAGGAAATAATGAGTATTTGATAGAGTAGGATGACTATATGGGCCTCACAGATCAACATGAATTAACTCAAGACATCTAGTGGTGCTAATTGAACTTACTGGAAATGAATTTCTTTGCTGCTTTGCTAATGGGCAAATGTTACAGCGAGAAACATCAAGAGAATTAACAGATGGAATTTTATTAAGATGCTTCATGACATTACAAGAGGGATGACCTAAACGGTAATGTCATTGTGTGGTTACAGCTAAAATCTCTTTATATATAGTATAGTTACATCAGATGTTTTTTCGTTTACATCAGGAAAAGGTCTGAGTAAAACTTTAGATAAAAACATATTTAAAACAGATTTTATAGTCTGTGGTTCAAAAGAACTTTGATCCAAGATGTAGAGTCCTTTGTAGATCCTTCCAACCCCAATGATTTCTTTAGTATTAAGTTCCTATAAGAAGGAACAATCATCAAAGAATCCACAATATATGTTGGAAGTCTTAGCTAACTTTCTTATAGACAGAAGATTATACTTAAAACTTGGAACATGTAAGGAATCAAATAACCTAACTTTGGAACTAAGAGTTGCATCACCAATGAATTGTACGAATTTTATACTACCATTTGGCAATACTATAGGAGTAGTAGACGTAACATGTTTAAAAATCCTAAGTAAACTAAGGTCCATACAAGTATGATTCGTAGCTCCTGTATCCTCAATCCAAAAAATACTAGCATATGATTTAACTGTATCAAGGTAAGGGAAAGAATGGCTACCTGCAAACTCTCCAAAGTGTGCAAAGTTGACACGCTATAAAGCATCATCTGAATCCACACGAGCTTTCCCTTTGATAGTTCTGCTAAGCTCCTGCTGCAGCATGTTGAACTTTATTATCAGAGCATTCACATTTGTGTCTGAACTGGAGAATGCACTCGGAGCATAGTCTATCAGAGTCTCAGCTTCGGCAAGATGAGCAAAAGCTTTCTTCTGACTTTTATCTTTGTTCCCTTACCACCAGTCTGGATAGCCTTTAATCTTGAAACAACCTTCCTTATCATGCCCAGGTCTCTGAAAATAAGTACAAAACAGTGAAGCCTTTTCCAGTTTCCTCTTAGCATATTCATAACTTGTCTCAGTCTTCTTTGATTTGCCAACCTGTGCTTTTGTTATCAGTGCATCATTAGTACTTGAAGCAGCTGGGTAGTTACTGTTGAAGGTGATGCTGGAAGCAGCAGAATAGTTGTTAGAAGTGACAGAGTATGTAGAATTTCCAAACAACTGCGAGCTAACAGGAAGAGGATTTTTCTGTTTCTCCACCCGAAGAACGATTGCATAAGCATGTTTCACTGTAGGTAGTGGCTCCATTGTCATGATGTTATCTTTGACTGTCTGAAATGTTTCATTTAACCCCAAAACAAACTGCACCAGCTTATCTTCATTGTCTCGCTCAATCAAAACCTTAGCAACTGCAGGTGGACTCTCAGAAAGAGGCCTAAAATGTTTATACTGATCCCGGAGTCTTTTCAGAGCATTGTAATGCTTCACTAATGGTTGATCTCCATGTTTCAAACTGATCAGTTCTTCTCTCATCCGTAATAACATCGGACCATTTGCATTACCATATCTCTCAGCTAAATCGTCCCAGAGTTGTTTAGCACTTGATGCATAAGAGAAACCTTCCATTAAATCAAGGGAAATTGCAGCACTTAACCAAGACTTAACTATACTATCAACTTGTTTCCACCTAAGATATTCTAATGTACCAGGAGCTGGCATAGTGCATGTACCATTCACAAAACCATACTTCATCTTAGATTCAAGTGAGGTTCGTACTGACTAACTCCAATTACGGTAATTATAATCATTCAATTGAACAGATACTAGCATAATAGAAGGATTAATTTCATCATTCAGATTATACACATCAACAGGACTAATAGAGTCATTACCGTTGGAAGAAGAATCATCAAACCGGCGTATACCCGCGCCTCCACGAACCGGTGCTCCCAGATCTATACTTGACTCGATCGCCATCTGAAATCGACAAGAGAAGACAAAACCAATCGGATCGATCTAACCGGGGAAGAAAAACGAACATTATTGTCGGATCGAATTATGCTAACACTGGTCTGATACCATCTAAGAGACGGCAAATAGAGATGGAGCGGAAGCCATAGTTAGGGTTTCTTAGAAAAAGGGGGAAAACTGAATTCTGTGTTAATTGATTAGAATGAAAACTATATTATAAAATGTGTTAACTATACAAGTATTTATATCAACTAAAATAACTGCCTATCTTCTATATTTACATGTATGACCCTATATAAGTAACTATGTACAAATATACTGCAAGGGCTAAAGTGAAAATCCATCAGCTACATCTTCTAACACTAAACTATCCACTAAATCTGTATAACTTGCATTCTGTAAAACTGCTGCTACACTTTCATCTTGATAATTCTTCATACTACAAACACAACAAAATTTAACATAGTAATTTGGGCCTAAAAATTGTAAGATTTCTGATTGATGAAAATAACTTCCGACAAAGATGGATAGAGATTGCAAAGTTAATCTCGTTTAGAACTCCATAATATGGAATCTGCACGCGGATGACTCTTTGGTTCCATTTTCTCATTGTGTTGTTGGCTCTATACAACATCCGTTATCTAAATTTTTGCAAAAGTGATGGTTTACCAAAGACCAGAACATGAACACTCATAAGACCCAGGATATTATTCACCTTTCCATTGAGAACGAATAAAGTTATTTTTGGAGTTTATTTTTTGGAATGATAGGACTGATAACCTTATCAATGGTAGCAAACATGCGTGTATTAACATATTAACAACAACAATAATAACAATGATATATTTATTACGACTAAAAACTTTTTGTTTACTATGATAATCATTTTTATTTTTACATCAATATCCATCTTCAGTTTCAATATAGTCACAACAGTAGAGATGCACAATCCTAAGATTATGTACATTATACAGTCATAGATTAAATTAATTTGGTTAAATTATAGGATTATCTCTAATTACAGAGTGAAAAATTACAGTTAAAGAAATACTAAGAGAACATTAATACACAATCCCAATACTATGTAATTCTTATAATTTTAGAAAAGATAACATCGCTCTAATTATATGCAAAGAAAAGATAACATGTACAACAATCTGCGAGTAAGATATTATAATTCATTTTATGCGTTATACTCAGTTACAATAGAGGAGATGCACAATCCCAATACTATATAGTGCGTATCATTTTAGATTAAACTAATTTGTCTAAATTATTACATTATCTATAATTATAGAGCAAGAAAATTTCACAATTCAAAAATACAAGAGAACATTAATACGCTACAAACACGATCATAGCATCGCGTCCAAAGAAACTCCAATCTAACTCGAAAGCTCGTAATTATATGGCTAGAGGTTCCAGGTATACAAACTTTCTCTTGTTCAAATGCAGTTTTTTTTTAAATACTATTTAACTAAAATCCATCTAAATTGAATATGAAAATCGTCGAATGTCTTTATTACTCCACGAAAGAAAAGGGACCGATGGGGGGACCTATGGATGTACCGACTGTTGACCGTCTAAAGTTAGCATATCATGCGAAGAACTGTAGGTGCCAATGGGGCGAACTAGTCCTTGCAAATTTTAACCTAAAAATGGTTGCAAAAACCCTATTCATCGGAAAGTCATCTTGGCTTAAAGTGAGCTAGATTGCTGCTTCTTGTACAACTGTTTGATTTGTACTTAGTCGAAGGATGGAAAGGTCATATTGAAGAATAACTGTTACATGAAGAAATGCCTAAAACAGCATCTGGCATGTGTGTCTTTGTTGTGTTTCAGAGTACTTTGAAAATGTGTCTCCTGTTGATGTCCGGAGGCAGTAAACATGATGATTTGATCCGGGCCAATGCTTGTTGAAACGTTACTTCATCTTCACTATTTGCATTATTTGGTTTACTATACGAATTTCAATAACTTTATTATATTTTACTCATTTACTCTTATCATATTGTTATATCAGTACTACAAAAAAAAAATTCTATTGAAATAAATGGACTACACTTTTATTGGACGAAATCACTATAATACAGTTTTAGTTGTGCATTATAAACGATCAAATGGCGTGTTAATGAGATCAAATCGATCACTAGTGAAAATGAAGAAAAAATAATAATAATAAGGGAGCGAATCTAATAATAGCTTTTCATCCATGTCATTTCACTAATACCCACTTTCACCTACTCTTTACAAATTCTTTTTGTTACTAGTGAAACTATATTGGTGTAATGTGTATGAATATATTGTCATCATTAATTTAATTATGAATCTAATTCGTTTGACTTTTAAACTCCGTTATTTGGGAATCATGACAGCAGTGGTGTGATTACGACAAACATTATAAAGTTTCAACGAACTCAAAGATTCAACCATGATCATTTGAATCAAAAGGTTGCGAAAAAAAAAAAAAGAAGGGAAAAGGGAATAGAGAGCTAAATCTAGATCTATTAGTCATTACTACATTAGCTAGCTCAGTTGACTTTCTTTTTTTATTCACCAACGATTCAACAAACTTTAGAATGTTTGTAGTGAACTGTTCAAGTGTTAATTTGAGGATGATGGTGTTGGACAGGAAGTTCCATTATAATTGAAAACATTAATTTACTTAATCTTTTCCCAATGGTTTGGACTTTGGAGCACTCAGCCATATAAAAGTTGAAAAGATATCTATAATTAATCTAATCTCTTAGCCAAATTATATCAAAAAAAAAATAATAATAACTTACCACTTTCTCAATTTATTTACTAGCAACAATACAAAGTCAAATCCCACGGAGATACTAGAGGATACAGATGTCAAGAGAGTTGGTGAAGAGCACCATAGAATGGGGTTGATAATTCGATCATGTTCATCACGTATATTTGAGGCGTGGGAACTGAGAAATTCATTCCCACATTGAAGATTTTGTACAATTTGTCGATCGAGAAACTCTTTGTTTTGCTCAAGTTTGTGGTGTCATCAATTAAATTGCGCGACAGACTTGAACACGATTATTTATTTCGACCCAAAATACGACTTCTATTTGAGGAAGTAAACAGTACTTATGTGAGTGAAATGAAATTGGTTGAGTTACTTATGTGCATTCCATGAGACAATATCATGCACTTTTTTGTCAGTCTAGGGAACCCTAATTTCATTTTTCAAATTGTCTTCTTTTTTTTTTTGGGTCAAGAATGGAGACAGATCAAACTGTATTAATTGCTCCATAACATAAAAAATCTTTACTGATTTTTCTTATTTGATTGTGAAATTTACACAGTAGAACAACACGATTGCTTTGTGCTGTGATTTCTAGGGAAGCCATAAGAATATTATTCCTTTTTCTTTTAATATGGTAAATCTATGATCCGACTATAATGAGTACAAGATGAGAGAGTATATCGCTAAAATTTTACTGTGAGGTTGTGTTTGATTTTAAGATGAGCCCACCGTCCACCTCCATTCAAGGCGTGACTACTTGTAACAGGTTAATTTTCTAGGGTTCCATTTCAAAGATTCTTATGCAGCTGTACTCTATATATAGGCAATGTCGTTAGTACCAATGCGACATTCCAAATTACGTTACGGTCCTCACCATTTTGCTTTCGTGATGAATGTAGAAATATTGAATATTCCCAAATCAAGGAAACAAAACTATAAAGTTTTTATTCAAGAATCCCATAATATATAAAACGCATTATGTTTTTTTTATAATTTTTTTCATTGTGATCGTTTCTTCTTTGCCTTTGCCTGGTAATTTTTCAGTTTGCAAATGATTTGTGAACTAAGGGAGACACATATAGGTTGCATGCAGGAAGGTAAAAAGTGGCAATAAGGATTAAGCAACTCATTAAATATTCTCTCTCTTTTTCTTTTTCTTTTTCTTTTTTTTTTTTTTTTGGAATTGAAACGAATAGTAAGCATTCATTTTCACAATTTAACGAAGTTGAACACTTTTTCTAATACAATGATCGTTTTGAGATGATATAATATACATTAATAAAGTAAATTCGTTGTAAGTAAAGGTGACAAAAGTTTATCTACACCCTACAACAAAATGAGAATGAAACGTGAATTTACGAGGGTCTAGCTCGTTACACACGAGAAAGACAACAGGATTAAAAGTGTGTTTTCTTCCCCTTGGACAAGTTCAGCAAAGAATACATGATATAGCTCTTCGTCCTCCGAAATATTGAACCCTTATTCTTATCATTTGCTATCCCTGCAGATTCTTTAAGTCTCGCGCCTTTCCTTCCATAAACTTGATTCAAACAATAATATTTACAGCTCCAAACTGAAGGACATAAATAAAAGAGAGAAAGCATCCGCCACCCATAGCCCAAAACCCACAAAAAGAAAATGAAATAAAATAATCACAAAATATATTTATACACATCAACAGATTGACAAGAGCTTCTAACCCCTTATTCCCTGAGGCACAATATCTTTTCTTTTCTTTTCTTTTCTTTTTTTTTAAAAAAAAAACGCAAATTAAAGTATTATGATTCAAGATGGAAAGATCATACTAGTATATATCATTATTGCTTTTCCAAGGAACTCAAAGATGTAGTTGAGGATACTAAGGTAAAATTACATAGGATAGAGAGAGACATATCTAGGAACTTGTTTTAGATCGACAACCAAGAAACACAGTGTCGTAGAGCACAGCACATCATGTCCAATGTCCCTCTCTTCAGAGAAAGAAAAGAAAATTTCAAGTACTCTTCCACTCATGCGTCTCATCCCTGACAAGAAAGCAACTTTGACGAAACCCTAAATAAACAACCACTCTTTCCGATGCCCACCAAATCAAACTTCCCACTTTCACTTCTCATTCAAAGTACAACAAAATATGATAAACTAATTACTAACTTCCATTATATTGATAATAGCCTATAACTATCATCCTAATTAGGCTCATGAAAGATATATGTATAAGAAGATAAATTAACAAAAGAGCTTATTA